GTGTGTGTGTGTGTGTGTGTGTGTGTGTGTGTGTGTGTGTGTGTGTGTACACACATTAAAACTTCTTTAATCAAAGAAGCTTCAGTGAGATAGCAGAATGTAAAAGTGAACATATTCAGGACTTTGTGAGACATTGCAACATTCTAAACAAAATGCAAGATGTAACTTTAAAAGAAGCAGAGATTGGCAGTTTTGAATGTATGAACCTTAACTGATTTTGTCTCTTTGATACTGTTGTGTGTGGAGAATCCAAAAGAGCCTAGTAAAAAGTTGCAAACATTTCCTTTGGAATATTTACAAACCTCTTTACCTCTCCTTGCAGCTCCAAAGCTGTTAATGGTTCGCTTCCTTTTATTAATGGCAGGCTGGAAAAAAGACAAGAATAAAAAAAAAAAATCCCTCCTCAAAGCATGTGTGAAGTGACTAGTCAGGTAATAACAGCTCCTTTGGAAGCTTTTATAGTACATTAGGCAAACACAGTGCATGTTTATAGAGTTTTTAAAATGCTAATTATATAAAAAAGCATTTATAGCCTTCTAAAATACTAAGCTACTGTAATATAAATATTCTTAATAATCATCATCTAAAAATGCAGATAATTGACCCAATGAAAGCAAAGATTTCTGATTCTGAAATCTGTGAGCCAAATTTTTAGCTCTAGCCAAAGCAGGGAAAAGGTGTTGTTCTTTATTTTATGAAAGAGAAAAACTTTTATTGGTTGTGTTCTTTTTTAATTAAAAAGAAGGGCAACGGTTTGGCTTTAGAGTCACATATAGAGGTCATCTTAAATAATATGGGCCAGGTTTAGATGCACAGTTGTATGCCAAAGGAACACCTAATTTGTGCTTGGAGTTAACATGCTTATATGCACAAATCAGGACATAGTATATGCCTCGTCATTTGCACATTGAGCTCTTCAGTTTGCATGCACAGTCACAATAACTGCACGTGCAAATTAAGTGCTCAACTGCATACCTACTGGCTTTACTCTGGCATTGTGGATTTGATAATGGTTATTGCACAATCAAAAGATTGCTTTGTCGCTGCATCCCGGAGAATCCCATCTCCGTGTGCACTGAGCACACTCTAAAACTCCAGACAATTTGCAAGGATCTCTGCCAATAGGATTACCACCTGGAAATGGAGTAAGGACAGCTGCATGCTGATTCTCTCAGAGCATCCCACCAGGTGAAAACCAAGGGGTCCATGACCATATTGAAATGCAGCTGTGCCTGTAAAACACATCTTGGAAGTTTCTCTTCACTTCCAGGATGCACCTTCCAATGTGTGTGCATATATCAGGTCTGTGTGAAACTCTTTGAGTTTTGATTTACATGGAACTGGGGAGCCAAAGCTGTTAACCCCTTCACCCCCTTTGGGTTAGCCTGAGTTTGGTGTTTTTCAGAGAGGATAAAACAACCGTTAAACATTCGTTAGTGCTAGTCACAATTATTAGTAGTCATATTCATGATACTTAGCTCTTCACAGTGCTGCACAAACACTAACCCATCCTCACAAAAACACAGGGCAGCAAGTAACTGTATAGTATAATACTCGTTTTACAATTGAAGAGTCAGAGGCAGGATAGATGATTGTTTTGTCCATGACATCACAGTGAACCAGTGTCAGAGCTGGGATTAGAACTCAGGTGTTTAAAGCCAATGCTTAGGCCATTAGATCATGCTGCCTCTGCATCTTTTAAAATATGTTTTATAGATTTGCATGACAATCAGCAGCAGCTTTCTGTTGGCTGATGGAATTGTGACATTAGAGATATTAAACAGCTGACTTTGAGTCATTCACATGTTGCAATCATTTTAGTTAATACGCTGAAAAAGGATTCTGGGTTTTTTTTCTTTATATTTCAAAAGTCGTGAAATTCAGACTTCTGATGATATCATAACTGTGAAGTAAGACTTTCACTAGCTGGCTGGAAGAGATTTTCAGTATCTCTATACATGCAAAATAGCATGTCGTTCCAGCATATATAATATAATTATCTTTTCTTTAAAAGATATTTCTCCTATACTAACCACCTCAAATCTGAACAGAATTGTTTTTCAGGGTTTGTTAGTTGTTTGTGTGGTTTGTTGGTTGTTGGTTTTTTTGTTTTTGTTTTTGTGAGGGCCAGGGAGGGAATGTTTCGCATTGTACGAACAGTTTTAACTATGGGCAAAACATCAGCAGAACAAAGGATTTGTATAGCAGTTTATCTATTTAGGTATTTATCAGACACCAATCACTTACCTCTTACTATAGGTTTAAAATATTATTACACCATCATACTATAAAACAGTGAACAAATACCGCTCATAAATATAACTGAAAAAGTATTTTCCAATCTGTGTGATCTTTCTGAAACCTGAATCCTCTTTTGTGTTGAGACATTTATCTATTTTCCAATGCCCTTCCAACAACAAACACTCCAGCAATAGAGATCACATTATATATTGTGGTTTTTGTTTGTGGGAGAATGAAATCAAATGAGAACATAAATTACTTTGGTGTTGGAATAAAGAAACATGAAAAGAGTAGTTTTTAAAAAAGCAGCCAATTCCCCAATAGAACTAGTTAGATTTTCTTAAATCATGTGCAAATTAAAAAGTTCAGGGTTCAAACACATTGCGCAAGCTAAATCTCTGCCTTATTTTGAAAGGACAGGTGTTTGGGAAGATGCATTTGGATTTATACAAGAACTCTTAATTGGCTTCCTGTGTCTTCACTCAGAAAGGGCTCTTTTCATTCACTTTAACATCGTCGCTGCTTAACACCGAAAGGATACTCATGCCTTAGCAAATGGTACAGAAATATCTTTTGTAGTTAATGGAGCACTGCAGCGTTCCACTGCAAAGACCAACTACCTAGAATAAATTCATATCAGAAATGCAGCGATTCCCTTTCCACCTTCTAAATGCAGCCTGACACAGAATACCAGGCCATGACAATGTTTCTAAGAACAATAAGAAAGCACTTGGTATCCTTGTGGTCAATTACACCACTGTGTCAGGAAGATCGGTGGAGATAGAGCTCCCCTTGGGTCCTTCTGCACTGCTCCACTGAGCACTAATGTACCGGCAGACTTCTTATCAGGCTTCTATACTGTAAATCTCAAGAAGGGAACATTTGGGGTCACAGCTGATAACTGACCATCACAAGGATTCTTTCTTTCTTTCTTTCTTGGGGCTGAGGAGTGGCTGCTTCTGAACTGAAATATGAGACACAGAGTATGATGGAGAAGACTAAGCACTAGCAGGGACTCGGAGCGTTTTTTGCTCTCACACATCTTTTCTGCGCGTACAGTACAAGGTAACAAGAAGAATGATTTATTTAGCTCAGCGAAAGCAGCTGTTCAAAGGAAGTGAGGGATATTTTAGAGGATTGTATTCAATTCCCAGCGTCTTCCAGGTACAAACAAAACACCCATAGCTTCATTTTCTCCTCTTTTTTTTAATGCTATGCCTTCTGTTCAGCCCATCTTTCTAATTCTTTTCTTTCTTGCCATTTCAGCTTGTCCTCATTTCGAGTCAACATAACTGGCTTCAGCACATCCGAGACAAAGCTCCCACTACTGTAGGCAACATGCACACTTTCAGTCTCCCCTATCCCACTCAGACAACTGTCTCCTAATGCTTTGGTTTACAAACCCAAAGGGTCAAAATCTGTCCTCACTTAGGTGACTGTTGAAGTCAATGGGACTGCCCAGTTTTGAGGAGAGAGTTTATCATCCTCCCACTGCTGAAGCCATTAAATGGCTTGATATGACTAGCAATTTCCGATCAGAAGAGACCCGGCGCTGGAATGTCAGGGCTGCGGCAGGCAAGCGGTCTGGCACTGCACCCATTGAAGTCAATAACAGATCTCCCATTCGCTTCATTGGCAGCCACGTGAGCACCCCCAGATGGAGCTGTATTGACAGAGTGTTGGAGACATGATGCTGTGCATAACTCTGACTGGTGCTGAGTGTATACGGGCACACCAAATTCACCCGTTTTTGAAAGCTCTGGATTTCTGAATAATAGGGTTTTACGATGGACCTGTGGACAGAGCTCCCATCTCCAGTACCATGAACACATCAGTATGATATTTACATGAACAGTTGACCATCATCCTCTATGTTCCTTCTGTCCAAGAATGGGAACAAAACTTCCTTATTTAATTTTGAATCTTTGCTTCAACTTTGCAATTCCCTTTGATTGCCAGCTTCTCTGGACTATATTATCTGGAACTGGCCTTGCAAAAAGCACCACATGTACCATAAGCCATTCTGCAGAATTTCTAAGTGGTCTGGAATGAACTGTTCTCCTGCAAGTAACTCACTAACAGACGTGATTAGCAATTAAGAAAAACATTATTATCTATCGCATGGGCTCAGAGAAATATTCATGGTGAGCCTTGTGCGTAATAGCAGTAGGAAAGAGGCCAGGAGGGCTAAGAAAATATCAGTAAGCCAATGTCAAGGAGGTTATCAAGTGCAAAGAGATGATGGTGGTAAAGGAAGCCAACAATATGATCCAGGAAAGATGGGAATGAACAGTACTGCAAGCCAACAATGTATGCACTGCATAGCACTTACAGCAGTATGCAATTTATCATTAGATATAGATAAAAGTTCTCTTTAAAGATCTATAAAGCCTTTGATACTGCTAAGAAACAGCCAGAAGAAGGATGTTTTAGGGAGGAAAAAATGGATGTAACGAAACAAAATGCATACTTCCTAGTGTGATGAACAACAGAAAGGAAAGCTATTATTCCTGTCTTTAATTTTGCACAAAGGCGAAAATTTGCTGTCAAAATCATAGCAGCAAATGAAGTATTTTGATATTGCCCAGGGCGTAATGTTTAAAGAGTCTTTAATGTGATCACACAACCGCAGGCAATAGGAACTCATTACTGCTGCCAGCGTTGGTTTTTTCACTAGGGGAGAACTACCGTCTCACCACAGCTATTCACATGCAGTGGGATCTCAGCTTTCTTGATCCAGAAGAAGCCACACATAGGGAAAATCCTACTTGCCTGTTATCATGGCATCACTTACAAAGTAGAGATGTTCATCCTTCTGCCAATGTAGGATTGTTTCCTACAATATATTTGCTAGTGCTTTGTTGTCCTTAAGCTCAGCCAAGCACTCTGTAGCCTGACATTATAAACAGGGGGCCCACGGAGGGAACTCCTTTTTGCTTATAGAATCACAGAATCATAGACATGTAGGGTTCAAAGGGACCTCAGTAGGTCATCTCATCCAGCCACCTGTGCTGCAGCAGGGCCAAGTAAACTTAGACCATCCCTTACAGGTGTTGTCTAACCTGTCTTAAAACCTCCAATGATGGAGATTTTACAACCTTCTTTGGAAGCCTATTCTAATACTTAACTATAAGTGTAGCACCCAAAACGGGACACAGTTCTCCTGCTGACGACTCACCAGTACCAAGTAGAGTGGGACAACTACCTCCCACATCCTACCTTTGACATGCTCAGCTGTGACTTGGGAGCATAGTCTAGCTAAATTGTGAGTCGTGTAGTTGTATAGAAAGCAACTAGCATAGCTGACAGTCAGATTGGTTAAAATTGGTTTGCAGTAAAGTTATAAATGATCCAGAAGAGATAAGGGCCTTTCCTTAAGCACCTTATCCTGCAATTCTTATTCGTATGCATAATTTTTACTTATAACTCAACAGACTTCAGTGGGGCTGCTAGCAGAGGGATCCAGTTGGAGGAAGGAGGCTGGATTGGCCCTGATATTCTTTATAATACTTTTGATTGGTTCCGTTTTTAATCATAGAGCTATCTATGTCTGCCACCCATAACATTTCCATTGTGACTTGTCTTTGTAGCAGTAGCTGCCACTAAAAGCTATTCTGAAAGGTATGTCACTGCAGGCCAGATTTTCAAAGGTATTTAGGCATCTAAAGAGGCAGCTAGGTGCTTGGTGGGATTTTCAAAAGCGGGAGTTAGGCGCTAAATCTCCATAGGCCCTTCTGAGAATCCCACTAGGCACCAGCCGCATCTTTAGGCACTTTGCTATCTTTGAAAATTTGGCCCCCTGTTTCTTTGCCTAAAGGATAATGGGACTATATATATATACGAAAGAAGCCACCTGTTTTCCTTGAGGTGCAATAGCTACGTTACTTATACTGGGGCAGGGTGTATAGGTGTATAGTCGGAAGCACTGATACACCATCAGAATTGCTGAAGGCGAGCATACCTGGTAAGGGTTATACAAGTAACAGCTAAGGGTGATTCTGACTCACATGTAATGAATAAGGCTATGATTATGTCACGGAGGTCACGGAATCCATGACTTCCATTGACCTCCATGACATTCTCTGCCCCGGACTGGAGCTCCAAGCCAGCCCCTTCCTCCCCTTTCCCCCGCCCCCAGCTCACAGGCCCCGCACGCATGGGGACACCCTGCAGCTGTCCAGCTGGGGGTGGCAGGGGCCCTGCAGCTGCCCAGCCGTGGTAGGCAGTGGGGGACCCCCTGAATCTGCCCAGCTGTGGCAAGTGGCTGGGGGACCTTGCAGCTCCCAGCCATGGTGGGCGACCCCGCAGCAACCCAACCCCACTGGCAGGAAGACCACACAGCTCCCACTCCCCACAGCAGTGGGGGAACCACGAGCCCCAGCAGAAGTGGGTGCTAACCCTGTGTCCCCATTTTGTCAGGGATATTTTTAGTGAAAGTCAGGGACAGGTCACAGGCTTCCGTGAATTTTTGTTTATTGCCCAAAAACAACAAGGAGTCTGGTGGCACCTTGCCCGTGACCTGTGACTTGCCTGTGACTTTTACTAAAAATATTCATGACAAAAACTTAGCCTTAGTAATGAATGAAAATAACCACCAAAGCCGAGGTCAGAAGAAATTTCCTCCTCAAGCAGTTAGCAATGACCTTTTTTGTTGCGCATTAAGTGCTGATCCAAAGCTCATTAAAATCAATGGGCTTTGAAT